GAAACATGTCCAAGGTCACACAGCTGGCACGTGGCAGAGCCAGGATCAGAACCCAGGCAGGCTGGCTGCGGAGTGGGTGCGTTGGCCCTCCCCCCATGAGATTCCTGCACACTCTGCCCGGAGATTTCTGGCTGGCCCTCTCCCGCCCCACAAGACCGCAGCAGAAATGCCAGGGCTTGACCTCTGGTTCCGGCTCCGCTGGTGCCTCTGCTCTGCGACAATGAGAAGGTGGATTAACTCCGTGGTTCTCGGCGGTGCCTCCAGCAGGGGGCTTATTTTAAAATGTCCGTGCCTGTCTGGACTCCACGCCCTTTAAATCAGAATCTCTGATTTGATGTTTGGAAAGATGATTCTTGCAAGCAGCCGGGGCTGAGAACCCTTGGACAAGATAGACTCCGGGGCTCTAACCTCCACAGCTCTGTGGTGGCGAATCGCCCAATGCCACCGTCTGCACAGGGGCTGGGCCCGTGGCCTGGAAAGGCCCTCTGAAAGCCTTGGACCCGTGACCCAGGCTGCTCCAATTCTCTGCCCAGTGGGAGAGGGCCTCTCCCAAGTGACGCCCTCCGGCCAGAGTTAGAGGGATGCCTGGGGGCTGCTTTCCTTTGGCCCTGGGTACTTTCTAGAGATGCCATGCAGGGCTTTGGGATGCGGAAGGCTGGAGCACATTGCCCCAGGCTCCCTGTGCAGAGGGTGGATTTCTTTCACTTATATCTTCCCCTGCCCCCGTACCACTCCAGACAATTCCATGGCACAAACTGATAAGGTCTGATCTACGTCATCGGGGTAGGTGGCTTCTTTCTAGACCCTCTGTCTCTGTCCCAGGTAAATAATTTTGTGTGTAGTCCAACACAGAACTGGGATCAGGACTTAGGAAATTCCACCCCATAACATGTGGCCTGCATGTAGGATGTGCTCAGGTAGCTTGATAACCTCACAAGCACTGGCCACAGCATTCCAGGCTGTGTTCAAAGTTAAGGATGACAGACTAGGAAAGAACTACAGAAACACTGAGGCCCCCAGGGACAGGAGCAGCCTTCGAAGCAGTTCCTACAGGATTGTCACTGCTCTGAGCCACTTGCAGGAGGAGAGCCGGGGACCCCATGTGCTGGACTGAAGAAACACGCCAGAGTCCAGGATGGGAGAAATCAGCAGGGCCATCTGCCACAAAGGTGATGCACAAGCTGTCTCTTTGTTGCAGACAGTGACAAACACCTTCCGGGCGGCCAGCATTCAGATCCAGAGCCAGGACCACAGGCTGCTCACGCTGGTGCTGGACAAGGACAACCGGCGCACTTTCAGGGATGTGGTCAGGTGAGGCTGGGCCTGCCGCCTCGTGGGCTGCGGGCCCCGCGGGGCAAACGTGAGCAGAAGCTGGCCCCCGCCATCTCCTGCCTCTGGCCTTGCCAGAGCAGGTCCTGAGGCCAGGCAGGTGTCCCCGATGGGCGTGAACTTAGGCCAGTGCCCTGTGACTTGAACCCAGGAAGAAGGGCAAGTGAATGGCTGACCCTGGGTGGCAGAGATTCCTCTATGAACCCTCAGGAGGCAGCCCTCCTGGCCCAGTGCCCGGTACTGGCACGGGCTCCTTCAACACAAGCTGACCTACGGTGGCAGCTGTGCCCCTGTTCGTGTGACCCTTATTGGTGTCCCTGATTGGTGTGCCCCGGAGAGGTGTGTCTGGGTAAGGAAGGCACACACAGTGACCCATCCAGGCATGTCCTTCTCTCCCCGCGCTCGCCCTAGGCCCAGGGTGCTCTTTCTTGTCCTGACGCTCCCTCTTCCCTCCTCTCTACCCTTTAACAAACGGGCTACCTTGAGAATCCCCAGCAGATCTGACCCCTGAGGTTAGTCCCCTGAGCTGGCCTCTCTTCATTCACAGATTCGAGGTTGCCCCCTGCCCGGAGCCATGTTCTGGGGCCCCGAAGTCCAGGGCGCTGTGGCTCAGTTCGCACCAACAGCAGGAGATGGAAAGCACCAAGGCCAAGCCCAAGCCCCTTCTAATGCCCATCAACACGTTCTCTGGCATCGTCCAGTGAGCCTGAAGGGGCGGCAGAGGTGCTGAGCCTGAGAGCCGCGAGCTCAAGAGGAAGGATACACTACCCCACCAGTCCCAAATACTCACACCAGTGGCCGGAGTGAGGCCAGGCTGCCCGGGACATTTTCTAGCACTGATCAGGAGCCAGCGAGTGCCCGGAGCACAAAGAGGCTGCCATGGCGGGTGACGGAGCAGGGTCCACACGAGGGCCCAAGGATGGCCCAGGCAAAGCTGCGCACACACAAACCCCAACTCCTTGCACAACGGATCTTCAGTTCCCACCTCTCCCACTCAACCTCCCGCCCAGCCCTTAAAACCAAAGTGACAGCTGCTGTTTTGGCCAGGGGCCTGGGTCCCCAGGGGGAAATGGGAAGTAGACAAAGGCAACTACACCTCTTCCCCTTCCCAGTCTGCTCCCTTCCCCCGCTCAGGCCTTGCCCACCCACCCACTCCCAGGCAGGCTCCTCTCCACGTGAGAGGAAAGTGCCAGATTCAATAAATGCACACTAAAGTGTTTCTGCTTTTATTGAACACCTAGCGATATTTGTATTTTAACAGAAGTTGACAGCAGTACGTAGTCTAACCTGATGTATCCACTTAGGCCAGGTAAGTTTTGTGAAGTATTTACTGGTGGGTTCTGTCTACCTCACCACACATTGGCTTAGGGACTCCTAAACCGAACTGTCTCAAAACAAGGTGGGAATGCAGGCTAGTCTGAGAAAACAGGGATTGGAGACATCAAAATTCTTGACTTTTGAGTTAAAAGACTTACACCCACATTGAAAATAGGGAAGATCGGTGACCCAGAACCCGTTCCCTCACCCCCAGGACTAGTTGTGGGGTGGGGGAGAACGTACTAGAGAGAACATAAAGGTTTGATTTGAGTCCATCCCTTTCACCTGGGTGGGGACCCCAGAGATTTTGGGGTGGGGTGGAGGCGGAAGGATCCCTTTTGCATTTGGAGACCCAAGAGTGGAGAGGTAGGCTCTTCACTTTTGGCCTCATTCCCCTGGGACTGGGGACAAGCCCCAGAGCACAGGCCCACTGCCTAGACGAGTAAGCGTAAGAAGGGTCACCAGGGCTATCTAGGTAAATGGGCCCAAGGGCAGCCTTCGAGAGAGTTCCTGTGCCCTCATGGGGCATGGGAAGCAGGTGACATTTTCTCAGGTGGTTGAACGCAAACAAACTTAGTGGGTCTGACAGTCAAAGGGAAGAGGTGCAGCTGCAAGTGGGATCTCCATGGATACCAACATGCAGAGCGCCTGCCCCGCCCGCAGCGGAGGTCAGCTCTGGACAGGTGACAACCAACGAGCAGATGGATGTGGGAGCCTCCCCTGAAGCTGTAGGGCCTGGAGGGGACAGGGACTGGGGACAGCCCTCAATGTCACTGAGGTGGTTTTAAACCTGAAGTAACTGGTATCACTGCATGTAAGTGAGTTTACCTGGAGGTGGCTAGATTTTTTTTTTCTTTCTGCCACTGGGGTGATATACATTGATTGGTATCAATCTGGGCATTCATCGTTTCTAGGTTCTTCAAGTAAATAGTTGTTAGAGTTAGGGGAGGGCTCCAGGCCTCCTCCTCCACTCAGTTCTCTGCCAGCTTGCAACGAAAGCAGGTTGTAGAGCAAATTCTGTTACACGTACACCACCCACCCCAATTCCCCTCCCCACTTCAACCAAATTAGGTGCTCTAAGCAAAGCTGGCACAAAAGTTCATTGGATCAGTGGCTGGATACTGGGCCATCTTGGAGTAAAGCCTATGGCACCATTCCAAAGGGTACGGGCTGCAGGAATAGCTAGATTCTGAGACTCTGTCCACCAAGGGATGAAAGCCTCCAAAAAAAGTAGAGCCAATCAGTGTAACTTGGACACCACTATTTTCACAGTGAAATTTTGCCAATATCTATCATGCTCATTAATGAAGTCCCTTTTGTTGTTCTAAGAACGTTCGAGTGCTAGAACTCACTGTCTCTGGAGTGTGCCTTTTTAATTAAATGTTAGCTAACCTCCTCTGGAGTACGTACTTCCCACGTGGACGATTTAGATGTAGATTAAAGCTACCCAATACATACATACTGTTTCGGGGTCTAGGGTGGATGCCTGGGTGGGGGGCTGCCGGAGTGCCACTCCAAGACAGCCCTCAGCGGCCAAGCCCTCTCTCGGGATTGTCCCAACTGAAGGAGATTGTGTCACCCTGTCATGCCCCTTGCAGGGGGTGCTCACATCCAATGAAACAGCTCTAAGCCCCCAGGGCCAAAATCAGTTGCCCCGTGGGAGTTTTGATGCCACGGAGGCAGACAATAAACAAGGTAGCACGTGTTATAGGAACCGGTAGTGTGTTGGATAGTCATCCGTGCTGTGGAGAAAAATAAAGCAGGGGAGGGGAGTGGGATTTGGTATTGCAGTGAGGGTGGACATGGATGGTCCCCGGCAGTAACGGGGTGGTCCTTGATCAAGGGGCATTTGGGTAAAGGCCTGAAGATGAGGAAGGGAAGTCATTCATATCTTGGCTTCCATTCTTGCTCCCCGCCTGCACGACAGTTTCACTCGCCTGCAGCCAATTAGGAATTTAACTCAAGATTTGTGAGCAACGCGAAACGGCGTCGGGGGCCTGGGGGCTCAGCTGGGCGCGCACCCTGACAGCCAGCCCAGACCGCAAGACCGCAGCCCTTGCGCCTCTGCACGCGGCCGACGCGGCCGACGCTGCCGGGCGCCCCGGAGGCCGCGGGACGTGGCAGGTGCAGCCCGCAGGTGCGCCGGCTCCGCCCCCAGGTGCACCTCAGGGCGGGCCCACTTCCGGGCCGGATGCCGGACGTTGGGGCAGGCGCGGCCGTTGACCCGGTGACTGCGGCGCCGCCGGAGGCTGGAGGTGGAGCCCGCTTGCTCCTCGCGGCGGGCCTCGCTCCCTGGGGGCGCCTGGCGCCGCGCCCTCCGCCGGCCGGCCGGGGTCTGACGGTGCTGGGCAGCCATGAGCGCCAACCCCCAGTGGGACATCAGCCGGGCGCTGGGAGTGGCCAGGCTCTTCCACTTGGTGTGTGGGGTTCGGGAGGCCACCGTGACCCCGTTCCTGACCCTCTACCTGAGGCAGCTGGGCTTGGCCGCGCCCTGGGTGGGCATCCTCATGGGAACGAAGCACCTCATCGCAGCCTTTTGGGCTCCCTTCTGTGCCTCCCTGGCCAGAAGCTACCAGAAAAGGAGGGTGCTTCTGCTAGGCTCGCTGCTGGGCTCGGGGGGAGCCAGCATGCTGATGGTGCTGGTGCCGCCGCGGGACAAAGATCCGGGGTACCGCTCCTGTAATGGCAGCCACAGCGCGACCCCCACAGTCCTACCACCGGAGGTCGCGCCGGCTATGACCCTCACCTCGGCCCAACCGGCCTCAAGCCGCCCAGCGGGGGCGCCCAACCTCCTGGCCAAGAGGAGTAATGGGACCAGGGTCGCCTCTGGCTTCGGAAAAGCGCGGAGGGAAAGTGCCCAGGAACCTTTCAGTCATCTGCCCAGGCACTTTGTGGATCCTGCTGAAGGAGCCAAGACCAGAGCCGAAGTTCTCCATCCTATCACCTCAGGGTGGAAAGATACTCCCTGGGAAGGAGCTTTGAAGGTGGTCGGTACAGCCCATCCTTTGCTTGCTGGGGGTACAGCCCTGGGGAATCCAGCCAACTTGTCCGCTGCCAAGGGGAACTCAGGAGCCCTTGAGCTCTCCTTGGAAGGGTTGCGATGGACTTTCATTCTCTCCTTGGGGTTCGTGGTGTTCTGGGAGCTGCTGACCGCCCCTCTGGAGCAGGTGGCGGATGACAGCCTTTTTGAATACCTGGATTTTGTGGACGCCACTGACCGTTACAGACACCTGTGGATATGGAGGCCGCTGGGCGCGTCAGCAGGCGTGTGTGGCATTGCAGCCCTGGCGGAGCAGCTGGACTGCTCCCTGAGGCCGAGTGGCCCCCGGGGTGTGGTGCACTTCTATGGCTACTCGCTGGTCAGCAGCCTGGCGTTACTGGTGAGCATTGCTTTTCCTGTCCCCGTCTGCAGGCCGCAGGAGCCCAGCTACAGAGCCGTCAAAGTGCTGTCTCTGGTGGAGGGCGACCCCCGCCTCGTTCTCCTAGCCTCCACTGCCTTTCTGGTAGGAGCCGCCACCAGCACAGCACAGAACTTTCTGTTCTGGCACATGCAGGACCACGGCAGCAGTGAGCTGGTTATGGGTTTCTCGGTTGCCCTGGGCTTGCTGGGGGAAATTCTGCTTCACCCGTTCAAAACCACGTTGCTTAGGAAACTGTCCAGAGCAGGAACGGTGGGGCTGGGGCTGGGCTGCCTCTCAGGGCAGCTGCTGTACTACTCTTTCCTCTGGAACTGGTGGTCCGTCCTCCCTGTTCAGATCCTGAGTGCCGTCAGCAGTGGGGCTCTGTGGTGGGCAGTGGGAGCTTCGATAGGGGACCTGGCCTCCCCCAGAACGGAGAGACCTCTGAGTGCGGTGTTCCGGGGCCTCTTCTACGGGGGCGGAGCCAGCCTGGGCAGCTTTGTGGGGGGCTTCGTGGTGAAGCGCTTCAGCCTGAACGTGCTCTACCAGGCCAGCTGCGTGGTCCTCTTGCTCTGGCTGACTCTGTTCCTGTCCATCTGGCCAAGGCTGCCCCAGGAGCGGAAAATCAACTACTCGAAGCTGCTGACCGTGGAGGCAAGTGACACAAGCGACTCTGAGCAGGGGCTGGAACGGGACTGGCTTGTGAAGGCCACGAGGGAGGACCACTCAGACTGGAAGGGCTGAGGGAAAGTCAGGGTGTGCTGACCTGGGAAGGAGCCAAAGCACTGGACGAAACTCGGCCCGCTGAGGACATAACCCACGAGTCCTGCCTGGGGCTGCTGGGCACCGTGGTGGGGAGAGCGTGTCTGCGTTGAAGCCCCACCGGCTCATCTCGCTGTGTGATTTTCTTTACTTGCATAGTGACAGAGAGTTTGTCTTTTTGCCATTCAATTTTTTTTTTTAATAATGGAGGAAAAATACATTTGCTAAAAAATAAAAAAATCCCCCTGCATTCACTGTATTTTTGGTGTATAAGATTTGCAAGAGCTTTGCTAGTAGTGACCGGTACTGTTGATTCCCGCCATGGCTGGAGGGCTCAGATCACACCTGCAGCGCCAGGAAAGCAGCGGGGACCTGCAGGGTTCCAGTGGCAGACGGGGCAGCTGGCTTTGACAAGTCATGTACATTCCTATGGGCCCTAAAGGGCATGAGCCGAATCCTATTAAAGCTGTGCCTGGGCAGGCAAGAACTGTAACGAAAACTGAAACGGCTTTCTCTCTCACCCCGCTGGTACACAGGGGCCCACGTGCCCACCCAGGTATTTAAGTTTCCAATAGGAGAATATGATGGAAAATATAAATTGCGTCCAGGGGAGAGGGGTGGAAGTTAATAGGTTTTCATTCTTACTCTCAAGTATGTGTGTCACCAGGGACAGGATCCTTACAATTGTGTCCATGCTGTCAGAGTAAAGGTGATTTCATGTCCTTTGGGCTCGCATTTGGCACGTTTCACCTCACAGGAGCATGTGGAGACTTTTTGCACCTGCTTTGATTAGGGTGTGGTAGGGTTCAGACTCTACGGGTGGTCCACACTGCTCCTGTGCCTGGTCACTTGGTGGCGTGCCTACAGCAACCCGCCCTATAGCCCAGGAAACGGTCCTTTAGCCCAGGGACCACTGACCCCAACCCCAACCCCAACCCCAGAGCTCAGTTCTTCTCTTGTGTAATCGAGTAAATACAGGACATTAGATTTAGAAGGGGCCTCATTTTGCAAATGCAGAAAATGTCTCATAGCTAGAGAAGGGGACACACGCATGAATGTCCTCCGGGTCAGACACAGTTCTAGCAACTTTATTATTTTTTTTAATTCATCCTAAGTAGCTTTAGGGTACAAATAGCCAACCAAAAAAATAACCTCCACCTTATGTAATTTAGGGACTCATTTGTCTCGCGTAAGAAGTCTAGGGGTAGGCAGTCCAGAGCCAGTGCAGCTGCTTAGCCATGCCCCTGGGGACCTCAGTCTTTTCATCTCTTCGCCGTCATCCTCAGGGTATAGGCCTTCCACCCACATTTGTTCACTTGTAACAAGGTGGCTGCTGCAACTCCAGGCTTCTCATCCTTGTCCCAGGCAGGAAGAAGTGAGCAAGGGGAGCAACAGGATTGAATGTCTATACCAGGAAAACAAAACCTTCCCAGAAATCTTTAGCAGATTTGAGTAGACTGCATCACATGGCCATCCCAAACTGCAAAGGAGTATGGGAGGTGATGTATTTTTTCACTGGGCACATTTACACCCCAAGCAAAACCAGGGTCCTACTAGGAAGAAGAGAGGGCTGGCAATGTCTCAGCGCAGTCTCAGAAGCGGCATTCGCATGCAGGCCTGTCTCGTTCCAAAGCCTGCGATATTTTCTGCACAGCAAGCCTGCCTCCCCACAGAAAGGGCTTTAGCCATTTGACCTCCCACGACAACCCTAGGAATACACATAAATCAAATTTGTTAGCTTTGTTTCACAAACAAGAAAATGGAATCTCATAGAAGTTACACATTGGGTCATGGGCAAAAACACCTCCTTACCCCAAATTTAGTGCATTTTCTGCTATGCCAAGCTCCTGCCTGGCTGGCCGTCCAAGTCACCCGAGGAGCATATTCAAAGAGACAGGTTCCTGGGGTCCATCAGAATCTCTCAGGTGAGGCCCAGAATCTGTATTTTTAATGCAGCCTCCAAGTGATTCTACGTGGCTAACCAAGCACAGATCCCCTTGGTCACCTTCCCAGCCCTGCGTGTCTCACCACACCTTTGCCGAATGCTTTTTACATGCAGCAAAGAGGATGATAGCTATTGAGTGGTTCCTATATGCTAGACACTTTCCTAAACACTTCTCATCTACTAGTTTACTTAGTCCTCAAAGCATCTTAGGATGTAGCCATTATACCATCTCCAATTTACAGATGACAAAATTGATGGCTAAGTAATTTGCTTGAGGTCACACAACTAGGAGGTGGCAGCGCCGGGATTCAGATCCAGCCTGGTGACACTGAAACCTGCAACTTTAATCACTATGTTCTATGGCCAAGGAATTGGGCAGAAGATGGAAAATTAAATATTAAGATTTAAGGCAGCTATCACTTGCAATTTACTGAATAGTGGGTAGTATTTACTGTGTAGACAGAACATACAATAATAGCAAAATACAAACACATGTGTGTCCCCCTAACACAAGAGGATAAGGGACAGGAATCTTAAGAGTTAAGAAAGGAAGTGTGATTTAGTCGGAAGAAGAGGGAAAGGAGAAGAAAGAGGAGCATGAGGTAGAGGAGGAGATTGAGTGATGTAACGGTTTAAGGATCTAAAAAATTTTATGGGAAGGATGCTGAGAAACTTGTGTTTTTGGCTATTTACTATTTGACTACTCTCTGTTTGTAAAGAATTATGCTATTTGCCATGGAAAATATAAGAATGAATACAATGCATAGCCCCCTGCCCTCAAGAAGCTAATAGCCTAACTGGGAGATTTACTTCTGTACGTACACAGGGCACAGAAAAATGTGACACACACAAAGAAAAAGCATTAGAGGAGTTTAGAAAAGAGAGAGATCATTTCTGACTCAGGAACTCAAGGAAGATTTTATAGAACTACATCTAAGCTAAGCGTAAAAGATAGTAAACCTAATAGGCAGAGAGAGAGTGGGAACTCGGGAAGGGCATTCTGGACAGAGTGAACAGCATGAGCAAAGTTGCAAAGGTGGGAAGCATGGGGTCTACTTGGAAAATAGCAAGAGAGAACAGTTGATGGGAGCAAAGTATTTGCGCAGGGCAATGCTGGCAGGCAAGGCTGGGAAAGGCAGCTTAGACCCAGATCATGGAAGATCTTGATTCAGTAGACTTTGGATAAACCATGGAAGGTTCTGGACAGGGTCATGACCGGTGAGGACCGCACTGAGCTTTTGTAAAAAAAAAATAATGATTAGCTTTATTGATGTATTGTTGACATATAATATACTGCACGCATTTAAATTGTACAATTTGATAAGTTTTTAACATTTATAAACCTATGAAACCATCACCACAATCAACATAGTGAACAGATACATCACAGCCCTCACCCTCAAATTTCCTCCTGCCCCTTTATAATCCCTCCTTTCCCCCTCCCTCTACCCTGGTCCTAGACAGCCATTGACCTGCTTTCTGTCAATATACAGGGGTAGGAAAAAGTAGGTTTACAGTTGTGAGTGACATTCTTTTGAATTAATAAAGCTATTGTAATAATCATAACCTGCATGCCTTTTCTATGTGAACAACTTTAAACCTCCTTTTGCCCACCCTATAGATATAGCAGTTAGCATTTTTAAAGATGATAATATGTACTCTTTTACACCTGACTTCTTTCACTCAGCAGAATTGCAGGGACGCTGGCACCAGCTGCCTGGATTTAGGACACACTCCACAGGTTAAGGGCACTGAACTGCCCTCAGTTCACACACCCTCACTTCTGTCTGACTGGCTACACGTATGAAGGTTCCCACTTCCCCTCAGGTTCAATAATTCACCAGAACCATTCACAGAATTCAGGAAAGCACTATACTTAGGATTACAATTTTATTATAGCCAGAGGACACAAATCAGAACCAGCCAGAAGAAGAGGTGCAAAGGGGAGGTCGAAGCACCAAATGTGAAGTGTCATGTCCCCTTCCTGGGGAGTCAGAGCGTGACGTGCTCCCGGCACCCCGATGTGTAACCCCTGATGGAGCATTTCCAACCAGGGAGACTCACCAGGCTTTGGTGTCGTGGTGTTTATTGGGGCTGCATTATATAGGCACGGCTCAATGAACCATTGGCCTTGGGACTCCATCTTCACTCTCCTTCTCCTCCTCAGGAATCAGGCTGTCAGGACATAATGTGGCTCAAAGTCCCAAATATCTACCACAGGGCTGATCTTTCGGGCATGACCAGCCCCCATTCTGAGTCATTTCTTCTGCACAAACACAGGTGTGACCTGAGAGGTCCACCTTGAATAACAAAGACACTCTTAAAACTTGGAAAAATTCCAAGGATTTAGAGGCTACCTACCAGGAACTGGGGGGCAAAGGCCAGCCAAAAATTCAAACCGAACACGTGTACACAAACAGAACAAGACAGGATGAGCTAAAGGTCATGTGAGGAGTTCAAACAATGAGTAGCAGTTCAGGAAGCCCGGGGCAGGTACGATGGTTGAAGGCTGGGATGGTCGGAAGACACTCTCACGGAGAAGATGAAGCAGGCTTGCATATTGAAGAAGGAACTGGGACACAAAGACTTAGACTTCAAGTAGGTCAGTTAAACTTCATGAAATGAAAACTAAATAAATATTTCACTCTCAGCCTTAGGGCTATCAGAAACATCGAGTTCTAGCATATCTTGGTTCCAGCTAAGAGGAAAGTAAATATTGAATGAGCTATTAACATTTATTCTCAGGTTTACTCAAACCATTATTTCCCAAATGAGCTTGGTACAACATTTAATCCTAGTGGGGTGCAGTGGGGGCCATTGAAAAAGGATTCTGTGGTAACCAGTTCAGAAAATGATGTAAACTATTGTCGCTTCTTAGAAAATTACAATGTACGTTAGCAGTTAAACACTCTGAAACACCCTGTAGTCAACAAACTTGTTAGCTCTGTGGGACCTATAATTCTCCTTGTATATCCAATATCACAACCTTCTTCCAGGTAATGCCAACCTCTGTCTTGTAGAACTAACATCCCCTACAAAAGACTTTGGAAAACGCCAACATTGGCAATTTTCTGTGTGACCTTGTCAACGCAGCAG